TACCCCACCACTCTCTTCTACTCTGAAGGAGAGGACGATGTACAGTGGTGCCTCAAAATATGAAATTAATCCGTTACGTGGTTAATGCCATCTAGAAAAAATTTCGCCTTGCGAAGCGTGGTTTCCCATAGGAATGCATTGAAATTTAATTAATGCGTTCCTATGGGGGGGAGTCAGAAACCAAAAAAAAGTCAGCAAAAAGTCACTTACCAGGTACAGTAGATTGAGCACTGCTCCTCACAGTGCCTTTGTAGCCCCGGAACAGCCGGAAAAAGAGCACCAAACAGCGGAGGGTCGGCAACCAGCAGGGAGCCAGCAGCCATTTTGTGGTCGTCTCCACACCTGCCCCCCACTCCCCCCCTCTCAGCTGATCGGTGCTGGGTCTAGAAGGCTTTTTCCCTGCTAGGCAAGCCTCTGGAAGCCACTCTGAGCTGTTTGGCGCTCTTTTTCCTGCTGTTCTGGTAAGTGACTTTTCGTTGACTTTTTTTTTGTTTCTGACTCCCCCCCCCATAGGAACACATTAATTAAATTTCAATGTATTCCTATGGGAAACTATCTGTGCTGGTGTTTGACAGTTACTCTAACAAAACTTTGGTTTTTCTCTTTCAGGAGTGACAGTTCTTTCAGATTTTTTGTTTTCTTCTTTGTGTACATTTGTCAGTTTGCTGTACATGTACTTCAGGCAGCAGGATTCCAGGGATGGGGCAACTGGTAAGTCACCTTCTGTATCATTCAGAAGAACATAAATATGCCACCTTTATAAAGGTGCAGCAGCACACTGAGAAGAACATGCTTTGGAATATTTTGTGACATTTTGGAACATTTTCTGACAGAATTGCAAGGGAGCCAATATTTTTGGCCATAACTGTAAATACTTTACCTAATACACGAGATTTATTTATTTACATATTTATTTTTTAGAAATGCTGTCCTGCACAATAGATCACAAAAAAAAGATAACACAGAAAAGCGTTGTGAAATGTACTGTGTCTAAACTTTCCCATTTGGGAGCAAAACAAATTTTGAGGTAAAGGAAGTGGAATGGAACAGGGTGTTGGGAGACATACAGATTGCTCTGGGAGCTGCAAGGAATCCATGGGCCACATATTGGCCTACTTGAGGTAGAGTGGAGATGTCACCCACAAGATTAATACTTCAATATCTTTAATTAGTTATTTTTGTTGCCTTTTGTATATTTCTCAGTTCCTGCCTTGCCAGCTGTTGGAGATCAAGAAAGTAAAAAATGGCTTATATGAGAAATGGCGGATGTTGTTTGCCTACCTAGTGCACTTTCTGCCCTTCAGTATCATCAGCATTGCACTTTTTAGTACCTTTATATATTGGTAAGTACAATGGCAGACGCACCTACTACGCTGGTGAAATATTTCTGCACATTCATTGCTGCTCCATTTTGAAGCACACCATTTTGGACCAACAGGAAGCAGAATTTTAAATCCACACTCATGCAGAAACTTTGTATTATGTAGAAATAGGATTAGATTTAGAGGAAAGAAGTCTGCTCTAGCCTTCTCCTCGATATTCTTCTAATTCATGTGCATGTCATCCAGAATGTCTGGATGCCACACACAACAGTCCCTGGAACTTTGACAGCTACATCAGCCCCTGCCTCTCCAACTTTTTCATATTAGAACATTTTACTGAGAAAGGCCCATTGCACCCTCTGGTGGTCACTTTTTAATTTGGGGGGCCTTGGGAGGGTGCAGCTGTGCTGGGAGTCTCTTAAAACATGGTAAATAATTCTAGAGAACAAGGAGATGTTTTTGAACCAAAACATTTTGAACCAAACTATTTAAAAATTCTTTTTGCAATTCGTGCAGTTCTACAAATTATGGGGATGCATGAGGGGAGCCAGGTACCTCAGGGCACACATTTAGGTCTCTGTCAGCTGCATGTGATCCACAGGTTGCATGTTACCTGCCCTATTTTAATTATTTTTGGAAAATATGCACAAGTCACATTTTGTTTTTACTGGCATATTGGTTTTGGCTCAATAAACAGGAATTTCCTGCCTCACGAGTCCTTCTGACAGCATGTGAAAACCTTCCTTTTTAAGATGGCTTTTAATATCTAAATCTAGCAAGACTGAATTTTTTTTTAAGAAGGGGATGTAGTATATTTTATCAATATATTTAAAATTCAGATATTTTAAAGTTGTTTAATTTTTAAAAAAGTAATGGTGTTCTTAACATTCTTCTGGGTTAACCCTAAATGAATTATAATGTCTTAGTTGATTATGATTGTCTACATGGTTTTTGTCAAATTGTTGTGTGCCACCTTCTGTGCTTTTATCGGAAGAAAGGCAGGTTGTAAATTAAACAAGTACGGTAAGTAAAAAAGTAGGCCATTCTCTTGAGCCATTTGTGAGTTAAAATGCAGATTATAAAAGCTATTATAAAAGTTTTACTCCTTGAAGGAAACCGTTTTTCTTCATGTAGGACGATGGGATTTTACCCAGAAGTTACTCGCTTTGGATATTTCTTTGCTGCAATTTTGGCACCTCATATACTAGGCGAACTGCTTGCGCTTACTTTTCTTGGTGTTATTCAAAATCCCCATGTGGTCAGTGGAGCAGCGGTACTAATTAATGTAGCAGGTGCCCTAGCTGGAAGTGGACTTATAAGGTAATGGATTATGTATCATTTGTGTTTTTTAATAGAAATGTTACCATGAAGTCTCCTGTGAAAAATGAGACAACGGAATTGGTTTACAAAAACAAAAAAACAAAAACGAGTGAGTGGTCCTTATAGTCTTTATGAGTTTATAAGATTTTTCCCCCCTAGATAGTCCATAAAGGTCCTTAAGTCCTGCATCCTTTTACATAATACTTATTTGTTTGTTTGTTTTATTTACATGCTGCCTTTGTTCCAGTAAGGGAACTCAAAGCAGCTCAGAACATTAAAAGAAAGAGTTAAAAACATAATAAGTTAAAGATTTTTTAAAAAAAAACTTTATTCTAACTAAAATACAATTGAATAATTACAAGCAAGTGAACATTAAAAAACTAAGAAGGCAATCAGGAATTCAATTGTGACTGTTAAAAAGCCTGTCTGAGGAGATGGATCTTTAGCTGTCGGTAGAAGGATAAAAGGAAGGGGCCACCCTGATCTCCCAAGGGAGAGCATGCCAGAACCTGGGAGCTACCACAGAGAAGGCCCTTTCGCGTGTCCCCACCAGCTGTGCCTGGGCTGGCAATGGGACCGATAGGAGGGCCTCCTCTGATGATCTTAAACAGCAAGGAGACTCATATGGGGAGATATGGTCCTTCAGATTGCAAAACCAGCTACTTCGAGATAGTCCATAAAGATAACATCCTTCTCCTGCTACCTTTCCAGAACAACTGATATTTTGTAGTATACTGTACTGTCTTTGAAAATGGAAAGTCTACATATATCACTAATATAACCATCACAATTATATTAATGGTAGAGCAGTCCTGCTGGATGTAGAGACAAGAGCTAAGTCCTTTCTAGGGTTACTACATTTTCTTCTCTTCCTACCTATTCAGTTTTTTGAGCTTGGCATTATCTCTGTGTTGGAGGTGGGTCTGGGGACGACAAAGCACTTGCAGATATTGCTACTCAGTGGTTTAGGAGAGGTTAGGAGTTCAATTCCCCACTGTCCCTCCTTAACAGGGGCTGGACTTGACGATCCATAAAGTTCTTCCCAACTTTGCAGTTCTAAGATGATGATGATGATGATGATGATATATGCTTTTTGTATCTATTGATGTTGGAGATGCCGGGGCTTTGAGGGTTTCTATAGAATCTGAGAGGAAACTTTCAGGATCATATCTCGTTTGGCCCTCTGCCACTAATAATCGTCATATTCTGCAATGAGAAAATCTTGACCATCTTGACTCTGCTAGACAGTGAAGGAATTTCATAATAAGATGCCTCCATGAAAATGTGGGTTCAAATGTAATTGCTTTATTGAAAAAGATAATTCTTTACACATATTGACTTCTGGCACAGAGAAAGGATTGCTTTATTTTGACCTTTCTACACAGAGACTGATGTGCAGGCAGTAAATAGCACCACTTAGTGTTCTTAATCTGACACAGAAGATAACCAGAACAGAGTTTGTAAACCAAAATAACCGTAAGTGCTATGATGAATCATAGAACTACAGGAAGAACCATAACACTTGGATTGTGATCAGATAAAAGTTCTTCATAAGCAGAAAGAATCTTTTGGGGAATGCCCCAAATGGCAGAACTTTTAGAAGTGGATTACTGGAGGTTAAACTAAGAAATCTTGGTAGCCATTATGGGTTGCATACCGAACTGCATGACTTGCAATTCTCTTCCAGAAGCTACGTTGTGATTGTAACGACTGTGTAACAGGATTTCAGCCACTATGTCTTCAGGAAAAAAAAAATTGGACCCCACTATAGTTCTGTTCAGTGATTAGTATTTGATATTTGTTTGTTCCTTTTTAATATTTGCATGCTTTTTTTAGTTTTAAATATTGTCCTTTAATGACGTAAGCTGCCTCTTTATACTCATTGTTTTCAGCTTTAATTATTGTCTTTCAAGAATGTGAGCCGCCTTGGGTCTTTTTAAAGGAGAAAGGCAGGGTAAAAATATTTTAAATAAATAAATCAGGGAGTCATGTGGAATCAGGGTTCTGGTGATGAATCTAACCAGCCACAACAACCTCCCCATCTTCAGACTGTTTCATTGCTGTGTTCCATGAGATGATGGAGGCATCAGGGCTGGTAACTTTTCCAATATCTCTGGTTTGTATCAGATAGGACATTGCTTTCTCATCGAACAGCACTTTATTCTGTGAAGAGCTCAATATGCCAAATTAATTGGCAAGCTATGATTGCCTTATAGCGCATTTTGGGAGGATCTCTGAAGAAAGACAAAATTAGTGGCAGAGTTTCATAAATTAGTTATGTGTGAAGGGAGGAAGCATTTTCTTTTTTCTGTCCTGAATCTGCTGCCAGTCACTTCATTGAAGGATCCTGAGTTCTGATGTGGTGAAAGAAGAAAAAATGTTTTTCTGTACACCATAAATAACTTTGCAAAATACTATCTTGGCCTTTCCACTTATAAGCTTATTTTTTAAAACTATAAAGTCCCAAATTCTATAGTTGAACTTCTGGGAAATATCCAGAAGCAGCCAGTCTGCTCCAGAATGGGGCCTATTTTAAAATGAAGATAAGAATATTAGTAGAAAAGAGTTAATTGTTTAGTGAGCCCAAATGTATAATTCTGTTAAGTTTTAAGTTAGAGGATTTCAACTCAGTGATTTAATTTATTATGGTTGTAGACCAGGATAAGAAAAATACGTTATTTAGACCAAATCACATAATATCTGATAATACCAGAAAACATTGGACTAGACGTTGTCACCCTCAATGTGTCTGGCTCTTTTAAGACGTAGAAGTTAAAACAGAAGTTCTAAGTTAACCAGCGGCATTGATAGATATGAACACTTTTAAAACATCACACAAATCACATAAGATGAAATTAAGAGACACATATAAACATCAGTATGCCACCCCAACTCTTCTAGAAAGTAAAATTAAACAAGAAATCTATAACAAGAGCCGGGGCACTCAAAGACCTTATGTGGTCAGGAAGCTGGGGCAAGCTATAATTGGAGGATGCAAATGTACGTACTGTATAACAGCCACATTGATACTAAATGAGCACACTCCTATACTGCGAGTCCTGGACCCTTTGTGCACGGCAGGAGAGGAAGCTGAACACCTTCCATATGCGTTGTCTCCGACGCATCTTTGGTATCACCTGGCAGGACAAAGTTCCAAATGGAGTAGTCCTAGAACGAGCTGGAATTTTCAGCATGTATATAATATTGAAACAGCGGCGTCTACGTTGGCTTGGGCACGTCGTGAGAATGGCTGATGGTCGGATTCCAAAAGATCTCCTGTATGGAGAATTAGTGCAGGGAAGCCGCCCCCGAGGGAGACCACAGCGGCGTGACAAGGACATCTGCAAGCGGGATCTGAAGGCCGTAGGAATGGACCTCAACAGATGGGAAACCTTGACGTCTGAGCGTTCAGCCTGGAGGCAGGCGGTGCATCATGGCCTCTCCCAATTTGAAGAGCCCCTTGCCCAGCAGGCTGAGGCAAAGAGGAAGTCACAAAAGCAGCAAAACTAGGGAGCTGGACAGGGGACAGATTGAATTTGTCTTCAGTGTGGAAGGGGATTGTCACTCTCGAATTGGCCTTCTCAGCCACACAAGACACTGTTCCAAGACCTCCATACAGAGCACGATACCATAGTCTCTCGAGACTGAAGGATGCCTACATCTGATACTAAATTGTTTCAGTTTAAGTCAGGTGAACACAATAAAATCTCACCAGAAAAAGGTACATAAATCCAATCAGTTCGTTTACTTCTCCCATCCCTGTTTTGAGCCTGGGAAGGAAAGAAACAACTACATTAATTTTTGCAAGATACATCCCCCCTCCCCCATGAAAAATCTCCTCTTGCATCCTTCTTCTTTATTATCCTGTTTACATCCAGTGTTGGATATAAGATTCCTCCTTTTGCTTCCACAAATGTCTGGTTTTTTTGTTCACCAGCATGCCTAGAAAGCTTGATGTGCTAGTGCCAAACATCTCCTGATGAATTACGCGAACAACAAAAAAAAGGACCTTAGTCCCCAGGAGCCTTGAGTCAGTTGATTATTGCAGCAATCAATAAGGTGAAAGGGCAAGGAGGGCGAAGAACCTCTGTGTTAGAAACAAGTGCCTGCTGGAAAAGGGGAATGAGTTTGGCAATTGCCACGTGTGGTAGATGGTCAATAAACAAAGATGAAAAAGTGGAAGAGCTAGAGGAGGAAGTGAAGACAATGAATTGGGGCATTGTTGGATTTGCTGAAGTCGGGAGAAAAAGGAGAACGTCGTGCAATTCTCAGTTTTGGAAATGTTTTCTACTATAAAGGAGCAGAAGCCACAGCAAAAGATAATATAAGAGATGCAGGCTTTCCTTCCCTTATGATGTCAAATCTTTACCCTCTTTCTTTTTATTTTGCTGATTCCCAAGCTGATCTCCAGCAATAGTTCCAGGGAACCAAAACTCAGTTTTCTGGAACAGATGAGAAGCCTCTGCATAGTGCTTAGTTTAGAACAGAAGATCATTATTTTGCTGTAAAGACCACCACCCTGTTCCAAACCATGCTTATGATCAATGGCACTGTAAGGTGAATTAAATACTGATGGCTACCTGTTGCTAACTTATATATTCTGGGAGATGAGAGAAGCTCCTGCTATGCCTGTAATACACAGCCTGTAAGGATATTGCAGTTCTAATCATGGGCTTTCTTTTATGGCTGTTTCTGCCTCAAAGTCAAAAGACTGCCCGAATCACGTATTTTCAACAGTTCCAGTCATGGATTATCAATAATGCATATTTCTGATGAAAAGCAGTACACCCATATCTCTTTTCTCTGCCATAGTATCATGTGATAATATACAGTGGCGCCTTGCATAACGGATACCCCATTTAATGACGAATCCACATAGCGACAATGTTTTTGTGAACGCTTTTGCGATCACATAACAATGTTTCCTATGGGGGAAAATGGCTTTGCGATAATCGGTAAGCTGTTTCGCTTACCGATTTCCGCATAGCGATGTTTTTTCCCCAGCTGATCGGCGGTTCCAAAATGGCCACCGGGTAAAACGGACGGATCCCTCGCATACCGGGCAACTAAAATGGCCGCCGTATGGAGGATTTTTGCTTAAAAGGTAAGTTTTAAGCCCATAGGAACGCATTGAAGGGGTTTCAATGCATTCCTATGGGCTTTTTAATTTCGCATAGCGACGAATCCGTATAGCGACAATTTTTGCTGCACGGATTATCGTCGCTATGCGGGGCACCACTTTCCATCTTGCCTCTACTGATAGAATAGAAAAGCAGCCCAAACTAGACTTGTTTAAATCCTGCTTTGGGTTGGGGGAAATTGTTATACACATCTTTAGGTTTTACACCAAAATCAGGACTGTGAGATATTTAAGCAGCAAAGTGTGCTGCTTATATATCATCCCATAGAGCTTAAAATATTATTTGGGTGCTTTCTAATTATCCAGGTTACACATTGCTGGATACTCAATTTACTAATGCTGGAAGGATTGAAGTCTCAGTCAACCTCAAGCCTTAGCCCATCAGACCATGAGCAGAGTCTAGACTGCAGTTCTGCAATTTGCCACAAGGCTCCAAGTAGCTACCATCTGGATCGTGTCTTGATACTCATGATGGGAAACATTGTTATTACATGTTCTATAACTTGGGTTTTCTTTGTTTTTTTGAAGGAGCCTGGAGAACATGCCTACTCCTTTTAAAATGCTAAGTTATTTTTCATTCCAAAAGTATACCAGTGAGATCCTTGTTGTGAACGAGTTTTCTGGATTAACATTTACATGTGGTGAGTACTAAAAAGAAAAATATTGACCATGTAATAGTAATCGTGTGCTGTTGATTCCAACTGATGGCAACCCTCTCCAGGGTGTTCTAGGTAGAGAGTACTCAAAAGTGATTTACCATTCCCTTCTTCTGGAGGAACTCTTTGAGACTGTCCAACGGCTTACCCAAGGCTATACAGATGGGTTCTTCTCTCAGGAGACACAGTGGGAAATCAAACCCCCAAGCTATACCACTGAGCCCTCCAGGCAACATAGTTTTGCTAATACAGTACAGCAAAGTAGTAGTATGTCTGTATCTACAATACATTGCGAACCAGATGTTCATGGGCAGGGATAAGCTCAGGAACCCTAATTTTGATTGAACAGTTGCAAAAGGATGAGACAGGAAAATGTTTCAGTAGCGGACTAAAGAAAGCCAGTACTCTTTCCTATTAAACATACACACCAGGCACAGAAGGTGTGGCCGATAGTTTTAAAAGATGTTTCAGATTTTTAAAAATCCATGCCGTTTTGCCCGACTCATTTTTTGTTTGGGTTGTGCAACTTGCGGGAAATATGGAGTTGAGAGCACTAGAAAGTATCCTGCTATCTGCAGGGCAGCAGTAGGAGTAGGGGAAGAGGCTCTGAATTCTCCTTCCTTGCAAGGATAAGACAAAGCCAGGTTTTACATCCTTACTCTCCCCAGCAGTTATCTACACCTACGTTTGCTGTGTTGTCAGAAAAAGCAGTTGGAGAAGTGTCTGAAAGAAAGGAACTGGCTGGGAGGTGGGAGGTTAAGCACACACACACACACACAGAGACCATTATACTGCAAGTTGCAAATTCTTTCCCAAGCTATAATTAATGTCATTGTTTCATCGCAAATCTAGATTGTGTTCAGAAAGAAATCAAATGGGTGGCTTCTGCCACCGGGGTTTATTTTTGCCTGAAGATACTTAAAAGAAAGCAGCTCCATATAAAGCATGCTAAGATGAACAAGAGCTCCTTCCACCTGCTGGCTGCCCATCCAAGTGATCCATTTCCACTGGCATAAGGAAACAGGAGGCGGTTTTCACTGACTCCTTCTCCACTTTTCTGGAATCTCCTGTTTCTCGGAACTTGCTCAGAGCATTTGGGAACTGCCCAAAATGATGGGAGAATGTTGCCCTGGGATTTGCAGGGCATAGAGAGGCAGCAGTGAAAATCACCCCAACCTTTCTGCCAGCAGAGCATCTTTCACTGATCTCGGTTCAAGAACTGCTGCTGGCAAAAGCAATCATCAATTCTGTATGTATGGAAAGCACTGGCAATAAGGAGGCAAATAACTACTGCTATCACATGTTGCAAGCCTACTTTGAAATAAGGCTAGGTTTTGTGTATGTCCTCACCTTGTGTATGCCATCTGGTCCTTTGAAGCAAACATGAGGCTGGGGTTGTCTCAGGTTTCAGTAAAAGAATAAGGATTCTGGAGCTTCCCAGAAAAGGTGATTCATTCCATGGGTGCAACCAATAAAGACAGTTATGCTTTTGGCTTGAGTAGTGATCCTCCATCTTGGAGCTTAACCATTTAAGCACAGCTCTAAGATGGTCTGATAGACTTGCTTTTATTTATTTATTTACATTGACCAAAAAGGGAGACTTCACATCCTACATTCCAGTAGGATGAAACTGTGATGAAACTGGTGTATCCATCAAATATTGGAAATTTAATCTCCATCGTTGAAATCCTTCCTAAAATCTTTTCCCTTTCCACCACTGAGAAATCTGTGTACTCACACTGCTCTGCAAAGAGGCCATGGTGAGGCACTCACAACTGTGACATCCAATGGAACTAAAGGCCACAAGAAAGACACTGGTACCTAACCAAATAGCGACACTGTCTGAAAGGACATGGGACAGTCTGAAAAGGCATGGGATATTATATCTTCTTTTAGATAATATGTTACCTTCTTTTGGCAGGTCACTTCAATGTTTCTACGGGACTTGCATCACCCTGTCCATTCTCTCAAGGGATCCAATTCATTGAAATAAACTTTCCTGGGGCACCATCCCGGTTCACAACAGACTTCTTAATATTATATACCTTTGTTCCAGCACTCATAACTCTAGCAATTTTAACTTTTAAAATAAGAGATAAAGTTATTGCCAGGAAATAAAAGGTCACTTAAAATGCCATATATGTATCTACTCGACTAATTGTTGATGGGGCTTTTCCTCAGATAAGTTCATAAATGAATCCAGCTTAAATAGTCTCTTTAACTGTTACTTGTTATTTCATTCTTCTGGCCTGCAAAAGTATAGCCTGAATACTCAAAAGTAGTTATTTCTCCTTATAAAATGACAAGCATAACACTTCAGTCTTCAGTTGATAATGACACAAAACAGTGATTTTAATGGTTGTTGTGGGTTTTTCGGGCTCTTTGGCCGTGTTCTGAAGGTTGTTCTTCCTGACGTTTCGCCAGACTCTGTGGCCGGCATCTTCAGATAGCTGCCACAAAGACTGGCGAAACGTCAGGAAGAACAACCTTCAGAACACGGCCAAAGAGCCCGAAAAACCCACAACAACCATTAGATCCCGGCCGTGAAAGCCTTTGCGAATACAGTGATTTTAATCATGTTCTAGCTTCTATGCTTCTACTACCTGTTGCAGCATCTCTTGTTAATCTAGCTGCTAGGACACTTTGTGAAGGAGGAAGAAAAAAACAATAACATTGCCTATTAGCCCTTCCTCAGTTGGGAGCTGGATTTAATCCCTATGGCCCATGTGCTCCATGTGAACAGCTGACTATTTGTCTTTTACTTTGGATGTATTGCTGTTTTAAAAATCATAAGATTGTATTGAGAACAAATTGTAAGTATCAGAAATAAAATACTACAAATGTGTACATTTTGGAGCAAAATGTTTATTTAATAATGTCACGCAAAGTTAAAGTTGCTTTTTGTAATAGGTTTAAAAAAGCAGCCTGTGAAGACGTATGTGTCTTTTATCATACATATTTGTTATGCTGACAATCTATGGACACTGTACAAGTGTACAAATTATACACAGATCTTCAACCTGTGAAATGTAGTACTACTCTTGTAATCTTGTTGGAACAGGACTTCTTGATCAAGAATCAAACTCCATTTCCTTCCAGGTTTTGGAGGCATTTCTTTTATACTGCTCAAGTTCCTAAAACAGAAATGTACACTTTATGAAGAGAAAGATAGTCATTCACAATATAAGCAATGTACAGTGGTGCCTCGCACAACGGG